TGCTATTTGACCGTACTTCAACTAATATCATAGTATTAAATTATCTATAAAACCTATTTCTGCTGGTTGTGTGCTGGTTGTAAGTTTTGCGTTGCAGTTTTCAATTCCTTATTGGTTTTATTAATAATCAAAATATACTATAAGATGCAGTGTGAAAAGCTCTACAATTTACATACGGTCACTTATTTTATAGCTGCTCTTTTTGTTTTCAAAATCGGCAAAATTTTGAGCAATCAAATTGCGACCACGCGAAAAAGATCATGTTTTCGATACACGATGAATTCATTTTTATTATTTCATTGTTTCGTCACCTGATATGCTTTATCAAAAGAAAAACAAGATATACCACAAGATGCAGGGTGAAAAACTCTACAATCTACATAGTAAAGCTTATTGTAATTGTTTTCAGAAAAAGAAAAATTTTATGCAGCGAATTTTCGCAATGCCCAAAATTTGATCCCTCAAAACTTTATCGATTTTGAAAACAAAAAGTACAGCTATAGAATAAGTAGCCGTATGTAAATTGTAGAGCTTTTCACACTGCATCTTATGGTACATTTTGGTTGTTCATACAATTGTATTAAGGGATTGAAAACTAACTTGTCTTAAAAGTTGTGATCTAATACAACCAGCACACAACCAGCCGAAGTAGATTTTATAGATAATTTAATATTATCATGTTAGTTGAAGTACGGTCAAATAGCATAGAAAGATAGAGCATTTTTTTCCCTATCAGACTATATAGAAAGAAAGTTTATTAAAGTCTACTATACGGTATTAAAGTATAACTGCACGTACTTTTGGTATGCCCTAAGTATAATAGTATGCATAGTATTAGAAAAATAATTTTTCTAAAATTTATTTTAGCTTTATTTTCATATAGAAATATAATAGTATGTATTGTAAAAGCAGAAAAAAATTTTTTTAAAGTTTATTTTAGCTTTAATTCTATATAAAAATATAGTATTAAGTATTTGAACCGTAAATTAAATTTTTTTAAATTTTTTTTCGCTTTGTATCGATATACAAATATAATAGTAAGTATTTTATTAGTAAATTAAATTTGTTTTAAATTTATTTTAGCTTTATATCGATATATAAACATAATAGTATGTATTGTATTAACAAAATAATTCTTTTTTTAATTTATTTTGGCTTTATTTCCACATAGAAATACAATATTATGTATTGTATTAGAAAAATAATTTTTTTCAAAATTTATTTTAGCTTTATTTCTTTATAAAAATATAATAGTCAGTATTTTATTCGAAGAAGAAATTTTTTTAAAGATATTTTAGCTTTGTATCGATACACAAATATAATAGTCAGTATTTTGTGAAAAAAATGAAGGTGAGGGTGGGTGAGTATAAAGATATAAACTACCACATTCCGAAATTCGATCCTAATTTAACGGATCAATCATCAGGTGGTATCATATTCTGCATAAATAAATTTCAAAAACGACAAGCATACCACGACCGGTTTCGTCCTTGCTCAAGGGACTTTTCAAGTGGTTTAAGATATTTTTGTTTAATTTAATTAAAAATCAAACTAAAACATCATCTACACTGTTGTATGAGACGCAATTAGCACAAAGTGTAGAATAAACACAAAAACCTGTGATATACAAATAAGAGAAGAGCATTCGACGATCGTTCTTGTACTTACTTGCATGTGGTAGATGTTGAAGAGTATATTGTATGGTATATTTTATTGTTTTGAGTGGGTTCTGTCGTTGTTGAAGGTCATTTTAATTGGATTCTATTGTAAATTGTATATGAATAGAGTTTTTTATAGATCTAGAATATATGAGAAAATGAAATAATGTATTTTCTTTTATGCATAACAGAACGTGGCGCATTTTATTTGATCTATATGTTTATGAATTAAGATAGAAAATTTAAAAGTACAAAATTTAATGCCGAAGATAGTTCGTAAGTATTATATGCATGGGCGATCGTGTTTTATGATGTTGTTGTTGGCTTGAGAGGACGTCTATATCCTAAAGGAAAGAAAAATGAATGTATTCAATATGAAACGGTAGAAATTGAAGAATCGGACGATTTTACATAGAACTCTCCGTTTAGAACTGAAGATTATCTGCTAATTATTAAGTTTTAAGGAATTCTCGAGGATTTCTTTGAAGTCCTAGTGAGATAGCTTAGAATTTATCTATGCAGATTAAATAAACCGCCTGATGAGTCTCTGAAATGAGACGAAACCGGTCGTGGTAATCTTTCTTTTCGAACTCACACCCTCACCCTCAAAAATCTTACAATCGATTATTAATTGAATTAAAAGATTTACTTGATAATATCTATGGTCCTAATACATGCAAAATAATTGATACTGATCTAAATTATCCATATATACTTTTTGATTGTAAGTCTTTTTAGTCTTTCGAAGATTTTAATCGGCGATATAATGATAGTTTTAGAAGTGAATTTACCTGATACAGATGAATTGAGATCAATTGGTATTAATACAGAACAACGGTTAGTTTTTTTCTTTGTTTATTTAATTGAAGAAGACTTTAATATTCAATTTAGAATTGCTGTTCTTCCACTATTAAATTCTATGTTAATAAGACAACAACGATCAGATGGATCATTCGTTCGTGTATTTAGTGCACATACAACAATGAGGTATCGACTTATTGAAAAACATAATTATCAAGTTTTACCGGTATGCATATCGATTTTATTTTTTAAGAAATAATTAGTCAATTTTGGTTAGATTTTTCATGGAGAATATCTTCATGCACTTCGTGATAATACAATTAAAAATCTCTTTGAAACAAATTTGGCTCTTAAAAGTCTACCAAAACAATCTTCACTCAATTTGTGATAGAATTAGTAATAGTTACTGTTGAAAAAATAAACACAAACATATTTCTCATCTAATGAGAATCTATTAGGATTTTGTTTTAAAATGATTCGATCTTGACTTTCTCAATTCGGATATTATTCGTCTAATAGAATTCTTTAGGTGTTATATACGTCGACTCAGAGTAAATACTATCGACTAACAAAATCTAATCTATAGAGACGTGTTCTTATTTCAAGATTCTAGAATTATCGGAATTCTGTGTGCATGTTTCCGAGTGTGTCCAGATTTCGTGGCACTATCAATTAGCGATGCGCCCACTAGAGCCCATTAGGTCCAAAATTTATAGACACAGATCCGATTTATAGACATATACCAAACCTGGACTCGAAGATCTAGGTTCGAGTTCGAGCTTGATCTTATCGGGTTCAAACGGTTTGGGTTTGGTCCATGTCTACGATTTATTTAAAGTTTTTTGCACCCGGACTCGGATCTAGTTGGTTAAAACTTTTGGACTCAGACCCGGTTGATGAAAATTTTTGCACCCAAGTCGTACACTCTAAAAAAAATCGATTTTTTACCGAACCCCCAAAAAAGGTTCTGCAGATGTCTAAAAGCGTCCAAAGATGTCCAAAGTCTCAAAAAAAGGATAAAAAAATCTACGAAACCTTTAGAGGTTCTTACCGTGTACCCAGGATAAGAACCTTTTCCTGGGAAACCTTTTTTTAAGTTCCGTACAGCAGAAAAAGGTTTCGTAGGAAAATACGAATCCTTTAGAGTTTCAAATGAAACCCTAATAGTTTCGTACTAAACCCTCATGATTTCGTAGAGTTTAATACGAAACTCTAAAGGTTTCGTATTTTCCTACGAAACCTTTTTCTGCTGTACGGAACTTAAAAAAAGGTTTCCCAGGAAAAGGTTCTTATCCTGGGTACACGGTAAGAACCTCTAAAGGTTTCGTAGATTTTTTTATCCTTTTTTTGAGACTTTGGACATCTTTGGACGCTTTTAGACATCTCCAGAACCTTTTTTGGGGGTTCGGTAAAAAATCGATTTTTTTTAGAGTGTAGTCTTCATTGCAATGAAAAATGTTTAAGCCATAACTTCTCCAAAACTTTGTGTGAGTTATGACTTGCATGTAATTAAGAAATTCTAAACATACCTGATGAGGACCCTTAAGCAAGGTCGAAACGCGTCGTGTGATGCTTTGAATTTCAATCCGTGAGTTCTCAATTATACATTATTCTAAACACAACTACTTGTGGAGAATCTCTTCATAATTTGTTGGATACTTGTTTAATATAAGTCACCCGATGATATTTTATTGTAATTGTTTATTAGCTTAGGAGTTTTTCTTTAAAACTTCTTACTTTAACATTTGCAGTAGGAGAATTTATTTTAAAATCAAAATGCAATTGATAAGTACTTCTAGCACTTGTCGAAACCGGTCTTGCTAGCTATTTCATTGATTCTTCTTTGAATCATTATTCTAAACACACCCACACCCACACCCACACCCACACCCACACCCACACCCACACCCACACCCACACCCACACCCACACCCACACCCACACCCACACCCACACCCACACCCTTTATTTTTTATTTGAAATGAAAAAGACAAATACAGATAAAATTTGAATTTTCATGCAGATTTCGAGACAGTCACATGAAGTTGCTCGTAACAAATACTGCATCAAGCAGTTCAGATTCATTCTAATGAAGCTATCGAGTAGGTCATTTCGAAAAAATAACACATGATCGCACTTTGTACGAGGGACCAGAAGGCAAAAGTTAAGAAAAAAAAATTTAATAGTATATTTGAATAGTTTTTTGTTCATATTGAAGTTGCCATTGTGGGATCTGTTGAGATCGTTAAATAGGTCGTTCTCTACTAGCGTGACAACAATCGCGAGCATAGACCATTTTCCTCTTATAAAAGGTCTCTATAGTTTACATTTCCTTATCAAAACTATTGAACATTATTGATTTCCAGAGCACCGATTGTATTTTCTCATATTCATCTGTACGTTTTTTTATTCGAAAGATGTTCCATTTCATGAAAAGCATTATCGAAATCGTGTCGATTTAGCTAAGTTACTTCCGTTCTTTGATTCATATCACCATAATGATCTGACTCGCGTTTTGTACTGTTACTGGAAGTGCAACATCAAAATTTTTTCTTTGAAACTGAAGCGCTACAATTGAAACTTATGATGAGTGTGTGAATGATTGTTAAAAATTGGTTCGTATTTGTTTCTTCCAATGAACGTCTACAAGTGCACGGTCACGTTCTCTCACATCGGCTACATACTCACACTCCTTTCCGAACACATAGAAAGAGCCATGACACCATGCACCCTTTTCATGTTCACACCGCCAATATTTACAGCGGACCTCAACTCCCGAGCTCGACAAGTTACATTCTTATCCTCAATCAATTTAATGCGACAAAAATTAGATGGTGAAACTACGTGACTGGCTAAATTTCCGGGATAGAAAAGGCTCAATCTAAATAGCTTCTTTGAACTCTCACAAATATATAAGTGCTTGTCAGTTCACACTAGCAAGCAAAGATGCCACGAAGTATAGAAAACTTATGTTTTTGCTTATAATTCTTTCTAAGGTTAAGGATATATAGACTATCTTAGGCAAGATTGTAGATAATTAGAAGTGAAATTCAAAATTATAAAGAAATTCTATTTAGAAATATGAAGATTCAGCGATCATCGATTTAATTGAGATATTCTATGATTCTGAAATAAAGCTTCACAAACATGTCTGAATACATAGATAGCCTTTAAACACATAAGAATGTTACAATAAGATTTTTCTCTTTCTTATTATTCTAAAAAAACAGAAATAAAGCTTTCATTTCTGTTGTTTTTGAATTTCATCGTAGGAAGCGTATTTTAAATCAAATTACATTTTTAGATGGTAATAATCTCTCTGTAGATTATTCTATGATTCCAGTGCTCTTCCAATTACATTATCTGTCATCATAAAAAGTATCATTTATTCCTTTATTTTCCATTTATTTTTAAAAATAAATGATCATTTATCTTTATTTTTTAAAAATAAAGGATCCATTTACCTTTATTTTTTAAGAATAAAGGATTCATTTATCTTTATCCTTTATTATAAAGGATAGTAAAGATAAAGGGTCACCCCTAAATTAAACTACCTTAATTACCTAATTTAAGAATTTTTTTCTGGTTTAATATCGTTAAAAACCAAAGTTTCAAACAATTAAAATATGATTCAAATATAATGATGAATAATTTGTTTTGAAGGAAGATATGATAATGCATCATTAAGTTGATAAACATACTGCGACAACTTGTAATATTTTATATATTTGCAAAGGTAAGTGTTATTCTCCACGATGTGCATATTCAAGTAATAAAATTATAAATTCATAAAACCTAATTTAATATATTTGAGTGTCTTATAAAAATAGTTTAAAATAGAATAAAAAGACGAAAAACGTAAGATGGTATTATATGAATATATTCACTTATTAATTATTTAGCTCAACAAGTAGTTGAGATTCGATCTTTAATAATAGCTTTTCAAGCAACAATATATTTGCTTTTTATTTTTTCTTGCGTACCAGAAACATGTACAAAACATCCTCGACCTAACAGAGCTTCGATGTCAAAATTATTTATTGTTTATTGACGTCTAAAGCACAAAAAAAAATTAAAGAGCATCGAAGTGATATCTTACTGTGCTGCTCCAGTTGTTGTTTTTGATGTTACTATTGTTTATTTAAATGATTTATAATTAAATCAGCATTACTACATGATAGCGAAGCTTGAGATTATTTATCATTCTTCAAAAAATATTCTCTATTAATTATAACTATGTTATATTCAATGTGCTAATAACTTAGTAAACGAATAATTCTTCGAGAATATAACATGTACCTAGATTTATTTTTTTTTGTATGTTTCCAGTCAAAGAAAGAACGATTGATTGAATTTTCCTTTTCTTTTGGGCCTTCGAATATAATTGATTAACGAAATTAAAGTGTACCACATGCGAATGAAATATAAACGAACTAAAATTGTTTTTCTTATTGAATTATCAAAAAGTGAAAATGAATAAATTTGAAAATCATGTATTTATTAAAGGATACTAATATAAAAAACGAGAAACAATGAATATGATCAGAGGAATCTAACTGAAGGTGAAACCAATGATGATTAATTAAGAATTATGGATGAAACTGAAGAAATATATTTAATTAGTTATAAGTGAAATTCGTGTTGGAATTTAGAGTTTGCCTATTTGGAGTTACACATAAATCTGTTCAATTTATCTCGAAGTGAAGTAAACTGTAAATATCAGGTTTCTTTCTTTCTATGAAAATATATTCTTAAAATTAATTTGATATAAATCATTATATTATTCGATAGAGTAACAAATCATCATTGAACAAGAAGGTGTGGGTGTAGGTGGAAAACAAGAGATCAACACCCACGCGCACACTCCACACCGACTCAACTTTGAAAAAAAGTGAATCGTCAAATTATTCTGATCATTTTTCATTTAATGGTGAACAGCTATGAATGTCCTGGGAGACAAGATAATGAAATAGTTGAAAAACCTATTACAGAGCTCATCATCTTAATGTTCAACGAGAGACTAGAAAGAAATCTCCCATACAATGTCTGATACGAGTGCCTTTATGGAATTTTTGTCTTCTTCCTCCTTCATTAGATTTACTCTTCGAAGATATTCTACACTTGATAGACCATTGAATGGAAACGAACCACGAATAGCATCAAAAACTTGACCATGACATTCACAGTAAACATGGAGATTGAGCAGCTTTGGAAGATATTTCATCAAACAAGTGATTGCTTTCCATGAAACTTTTGCAGTGATTTCTAATCGATCAATATTATCGAATCGATCTTCTGCATTTGTGTTCACGTTTTTTTCATCTTCGATTTCTGAAATTGATTCTGAGTCGACATTCAAAAATGTCACATGAGGCAACTTTCTGAGGA